TAGAGTGGTGACGTAGTCAGACCTGAGATTTAGGAAGACCATTTTGCTAAGAGGATGGACTGGTATGGGGAGAGACTTGAGGCAGAGAGGCCTCTATAAGGTTGTTTCAATAGTGCAAGCATGATGTGATGAGGGCCTGCACCAGATGTTAGTTCTGTGAGTTCAGAGAAGATGGCATATACAAGATATGCTACAGAAAAAGTGGAATTGACAGGATTTGGCAAAAGATTGGATATGGGAAGAGGCAAGAGAGAGTGAAGAGTCCTCCTCCTCCTCCTTCTTCTTCCTCTCTCTCTCTCTCTCTCTCTCTCTCTCTCCCTCGCTCTTTCTCCTTTACTGTCTATGTTTGTCTTCTTATCTCCCTTTTGCTAAAAGTTCAGTGGTCACTCATGGCCTGATCCCACTCCTGCTCAGTTCAGTCCTTCTTAGGCAATGTGGCAGCCTCATCTTCCATACTGGTGTTATACTTAGTGTAGACACCTATTTGGCTTCAGCACTACTGCAATTCAGAACTCTTGAGTTCAAGTAATCCACCAGTCTCAGCCTCCACAGAGGTTGGGGTTATAGGCATATACCATCACATCTACCAAACTAGCAGTTTTCAAAAAGTGAAATACTCGGGGCAGCTAGATGGCACAGTGGATAGAGCACCAGCCCTGAAGTCAGAAGGACCTACGTTTAAATCCGACCTCAGACCAAACACTTGACATTTACTAACTGTGTGACCCTGGGCAAGTCACTTAACCCCAATTGCCTAAAAAAATAAAAAAAAATAATAAAAAAGTGAAATGCAAGATACCAACAACTGTGAGAAGAAAATGCTTGAGATTGCTGATTATGAGAGGAGGCTGGGAAGATGGCAGAATAGATAAGAAAGCTTTAGGCTCTCCAAATTTCTTCCACACACAAACACAAAGACAGAACATCAAAGTGAAAGCAGAGCAGCAGAAATAAACAAAAATCAGGGTAAAGCCATTGCTCACCTAAGACAACTTGAGAAAGATTACAGGAAAGACTTGACCTCTAAGGATGGAGGTTTGGCCTGAGTAAAGTGCAAATATCTCCCTGCCAATTCCTTGGAATCAGCAAACAACAAGCCTTGGGAGCAGCTGGATTGGAAGGCAGCCTTAGCCTCAGGAGCTTTCACCTCACTGACTTGGGGGGGAGGGGAGCAGGAGAAGATTGAAGGACCTTCCATTGTCAAGGGATGCCAAGCACAGCTGTGCTGACCAGATGTGGTCCTGGGTTGCAACTGCAGGGGAGAAGGAGCTAGCACAGTGCAGTAGCAGAGGGGCAGGGACCCTACTGGCTATGGGCACATGCAGGAGGGCAGAGTCCCTGGTTTCAGTTCCAGGGAAGAGAGGACAGCAGTAGTTTGCATGCAGTAAATTTCCATTTCAAGAAAACCTATGTAATATATACTACACATTGTTTTCAAAGCTACTCAGCTTTTCTTTGCTTCGGAGGTTTTCTTTTGCTCTCTGCTATGTACTTTTTACTTCATTTTTTTTCTCTCCCCCCTTTCTTCCTCCTTTGTAGAGAAGGCTACAATTAAATGTGAATACTGTTTTATTCTGAATCCTCTCTTATGTTCTGCTGTGTGCATGGAAATGTTTTTTTTTCTTTTCTCATTTTGTATTTAAATTTAAAATGAATGAAAATTTCACATGAAAAATAGTTTATCTTTGACAATGCCAGTGCTTGCTAGCATACTGTAGGTTTAGTCCCTATTTATGTCACAAAGGTGTATTAGTTCTCATTGTTTCTTTCATTAAAAAAAATCTTACATATAAAATACAGAATTTACAACTAGAAGGGATTTTTTTGGTCTATCTTCCCTCATTTTTATAGATGAGGAAGGATTAAATGTCAAGAAATATAAAATGATTTACCTAAGGTCAGTCATACAGCTGACTAGTGGCAGAACCTGGTCTAGAAGTCAGGTTTCCCTACTCCTTCTACAGGGTTATTTCCATAATACTTAAAGGATTCATTCAGATGCTAGGCATGTTACCCAGACCTTGGCAATTTATCTCTTATGCAGCAAGGAAGGCTATTCAATGTGAGACAAAATATAAAAAGAAAAAGAGGGGGGAAACTTTCTTTTGGAAATCCAAAGTGTTATATACACTTTCTATGTATACAATGTGTGTGTGTGTGTGTGTGTGTGTGTGTGTGTGTGTGTGTATTACATCTAGTATTACATCTGTTCTTTTTCTCTTTGGTGGAGATCTTCAAAGAAGCAGCCTGAAGTTAATTTGCATTACCTAGCCCAGCTATTCTTGAGGAAGAAGAGAGAAGAAAAGTCAAATGGAAAGAAAACAGTACTGCCTTTATGAACCTAAAAGACTCAATGGGAGATGCTGACACATGAAGGAGTAAACTATCTAAATGCTGGGGAAAGAAGAAACTCACCATGAGCTGATCTAGAGCAGAAAATGGAAGACTATTTGAATAGACCACAAAAGCCATATCCCCATATCCATCTGAAGAGACCATTTTTGGGGGAGTAGTAGTGCTGTAAAATCTGAGTGAAAAATAGCAGATTTGACTGGAAAGAGAAAAGCATCAGGGCAGCTAGGTGGCACAGTGGATAGATCTCCAGCCTTGAAGTCAGGGAGGATCTGAGTTCAAATCTGGCCTCAGACACTTGACACTTATTAGCTGTATGACCCTAGGCAAGTCACTTAACCCCGATTGCCTTACCAAAAAAGAAAAAAAAAAGGAGAAAAGCATCAACTGTAACACTGTCAGCTAAGACGCTAGTGCTTTGAAGCTGGTATCTGCAGAGGATATAATTAACGCCATCTGTTAGGGGAAAAAGATGTATCTGGGAGCAGCAAACCCAAGCTGTGGTCAGTGACAGAGGTGTGAAGAATCAATGGGGAGTAGTGACAGTAAGAGTGAAAGGATGAAGGAGTAGAGGAGTGAGCCCCACCAGTTTTCCTCTTTGCTGGGACCTCAATGAGAACAGTACTGTAATTTCAACAATAAATATTTATTAAGTGGTTACTTAATTAAGTGAAGTATCGGTGTGGCACCCACCCCTCATACTTCTCTCTTAAGGTCTGGGACTGGCCTCTCCACCCACTTTGGAAGGCTAGAGTGATTCCCAGAAGGGGTGGACATGGGATATAATTAACTCTCAAGTGGGAGAGGTATACATCTATTAATTCACAACTGTAGCTGCTGAAGCAGGCAAAAGCAAGAATAATTTACCCATGATGTCTTGGGGAGAGTGGGCACAGATTTGCAGAAACCCAGAAGGCATACTTGGAGGGAAACCCTTGTGCCCAGGGCAACTTACAAATTTGGATTGCAGGCCCTGATTTTTTTTTCTCCTTAAGAAAAAGCATATATATGTATATCACCTGCTGCATGGGACCATTACTTTTCTAGAGCTTTCACCTTTCTTGCTGAGCAGAGCCACTTTTTGTACAGGGCTGGTTTGGGGAGTTGGAGGGCTTAGGCCAGCCTGGGTCTTACCTGTAGCTTGTACTAAGCCTGCCAGCTGTCAAACTCAGGATGTCAGCTCACCACCCCCCCTGTTCCGTCTCTTGAGAACAGGATGCAGGAAGGGAGGAAATGGATGGGGTACAGGACAGGACGCAGGAAAGAATGTAACAGACAAGGTACAAGGAAGTAAGGAAATCACTTAATTAGATTTGTACTTTTCATGAATAATAATGTTACTATTGCTTGATCCAGTACTCAGACTTATGTCTGAGCCCTCAGAACAATAAACAGAGTTTGTTCTTCACTGCTCTCACCTGGCCCGTGATTCTTTCTCTCTTCACACTCTGCCGGCATCAGACCACAGCCAGGAACGCAGGCGCTCCCGGCAACTTTTCTTGCTGGTTGCTGCTACTCTTGGCCCACTGAAATAAATGTTTAGATCATTTAGTGAAAACAAAAACTCTAAGCAGGTTGGGGTCTCCTGTCTTGGCTGGATGAAGCTATTCAGGTTGTCCTCTGAGGACTTTCCTCTTCTCAAGCCATATATGGTAGTAAAGAGTAAGGCAGACAAATCTCTGAGTGATTCCCACCTTTCCAGCTGTTGGTGGTAGTAAAGGACCAAGTAACCTAGCCTTTCTAGCTAGCATATTTCTTTCCTCCAATTAGTGTTTCTGAATGGGAAAGATTTCCTCCAATCAGTTCAGCTCTCAGCAAGCAGCTTGTTCCTTTGCTTGTTTGGGTTTTTTTTTTTTTTGGCTAGGCAATGGAGTTAAGTGACTTGCCCAGGGTCACATAGCTAGTAAGTGTCAAGTGCCTGAAGCCAAATTTGATCTCAGGTCCTCTTGACTCCAGGGCTAGCACTCTATCCATTGTACCACCTAGCTGCCCCACAGTAAGCAACTTGTAAAGCCTGTTTTCCTCCACTAAACTTCTCTTAGATTAGATTTCTCCTCCTCCTCTTCCCCTTCCTTATTCTTTCCACTTCCCCCTCCCCCTCCTTCCTCCTTCTCCTCATCCTCCATTTCCATCTCTAGTCACTTACTGACACCTACCTCAAAGCAGGGGCTTCTTATGTGAAGTGACTCACCTCTACCTTTGAAAAACCAAAATTCACCTTTCTGTCAGACCCACCACAAGTAGACAATGTACAATTGTTGCATAACTACAAAAAAGTTTCCCAGCTATCACTCTTGACATCCACAGAATAACCATATATAGTTGAGCTTCTCAGAAACAAGACATTTTTACCTTCAGTAATTCCTTTTTCTCTGAGACACTGCTTTCTCTCCGGTACTCTCATCTTAGCACTTTTCTTGAGAGGCCATTTTATCTTGGATCCTCTCAGAATTGTCTGTGTTTCTGTCAAAGTAATGAGGTTGCTTTTCTCATTGTTTTCACCCAAATGTCTCTTTCTTTGCCTTTTTTTTTTTTGCTGAGGCAATCGAGGTTAAGTGACTTGTCCAGGGTCACACAGCTAGTGAGTATCATGTGTCTGAGGCCATATTTGAATTCAGTTCCTCCTGACTCCAGGGCCAGTGCTCTATCCACCATGCCACCTAGCTGCTCCTGTTGGCCTTTTTCGAGAGGTAAAAATGTCGAAATAAGTTAATGGTACCTATATACATATATAAGGCACTATGGAAAGTTTTGATTAGATTTCTCTACTAGTATCCACAGGAAATATGCTACTTCCTGAGGCGAAGGGTGTACCACCTGAGAGGTGTTATCTCTTTACTTTCCTTAGGTTCACATGTGAGTACTTTCTCTATCACTTACTGTGTAAATGAAACTTTTATTACTAAGCCTGAATGCTCTGAAACAAATGAAAAGTCTGAGAGAGTTTCTGGGTAATTAATAATGAATTTATTAATTGTGGCTAGCAGATAATAAGTTGAGGTCAGTGGTTCTCTGGGAAACCAAAGACCCAGAATGGAGGTCACTTGAATGTTTAGATGCCTTTGGAAAAAGGGTTATCCCTGAAGGGTGCAAAACAATTTTGACTGGCTAACAATTAATGAGGGAGTGAATATTATAATGAAGGTGGGCTTATTCTAATGAGGGACTGGGGAAATGTAATTCTAATCTTGTCAGCACTCTTGGACAAAGAGAGTCATCTCAAGCCAGACCAGTCCTGCCTGGGGAATCCAATAAAAAGGATCTATTCTCCACCCAGCTCTGAAACCATGGTCCAGAATTCACCTAGATTAGATCAGAAATAAGCTCTCCCAGTTGAGTGGGGTCCCGTCCAAGATTGAGGAGAATGTTTCCTAGTCAGCCCTGTCCTTCACAAGTACTGGACTTTGAATGAGGAAATAAAAAGAGAGGATCTTTGGGTCTTATATATAAAATTGGTTATTAATATATTAAGAAAATAATCATTTTTTTTAGCCTATAAGTAGAACTGAGAGCTACTCTAGGGGAATTGACAGATACTGAGGTTCCACTTAGATACAGACAATGAGACAGATAAGTGAAAGGTCCTTGCAATATATTTATGACCTTTGTGTCAGAACAGAGTCTCTGTCATACATTTTAGAATGTATAATGTTCACCTACAGCAAATAAGAATAACAGCTGTGTTATAAGGTAACTATAGACCAGGTTTTTCATTGCTTAATTATTGTTTCAAACAACATGATTTGATCCATTGCATATCCAAATCAATGTTATTTTCATCTATTTATAATGAGGTTTATTACATATATTTAAGATATACAATATATGTATGCATACAGCTGTTCCTTCTCTTTTCCTCTCCCTCCACCCCAATTTCTCTTTATCCCAAATCCCCTACAGCACAACATATTTTGGACTTTGAACAACTTGAAGGGAATGTCTCAGACAGACTAACCTCAACAATGGTATAACGGCATAACATTTATTTGTCAAGGACAAGTCAATCCAGGCTTGTTTTCCAAAGAGATATCTAAAATGATTTGACTAATTCCTTTAAATAAAACTGAATTTTATCCCCACCTCCGACAGAATCAAATTTGGCAGTCAGCATGGTTCTATGTTAATGAATTGGCTGTAGTATGGTGAAAGAGAAAGTCAACTTTAAAATAGTCTAAATGTTAAAATAGTTGTAAATGCCAAAAATCGGTTTACTCAAATTCAGAAAGTAATAGATGTTATTTAAAAGAGAAGTAATGAGAAATCTAATTAGGAGCTGCTATTTTATTTATGTCCCTAAATAATTCCTAACCATAAGAAACAACCAGCAACAGATAAGGATTCTGGTAGACAGTGCTCTGAAGAGTACCAGACTTAATAGGGGTATCAAAAGAGATGAGCCCCTCCTGGATCTCTGCCTTATTGCAGCAGAGGGGCTTGCCTAGGTCAATGAAACTATGAGCTATGTCATACACAGTTAGCCAAGACAGACCGTAGTAGAGTTCTGATAAAAGGTGATCCACTGGAGACTGAAATGGCAAACCACTCCAGTATCTTTGCCAAGTAAACCCCATGGACAGTATTAAAATGGTAAAAGACTGACACCCAAAGATAAGCCCCTCAAGTTGGAAGGAGTCCAACATGCTACTGAGGAATAGCAGAGGACACTACAAATAGCTCCAGAAAGAATGAAGTGGCTGGGCCAAAGCTGAAAGGAAACACAGCTGCAGATGTCAATAGTGACAAAAGGAAAGTCTGACTCTATAAAGATCAATACTGCATAGACACCTGGAATGTAAGATCTATGAAACAAGGTAAGCTGGATGTGGTCAAACAGGAGATGGAAAGATTAAACATCAACATCTTGGATGTCAGCAAACTTAAATAAATGGGAGTGAATGAATTTAATTCAGGTAATCATTACATATACTACTGTGGGCAGGAATCCTTTAGAAGAAATGGAATTGCCCTCAGTCAATAAAAAGGTGAGAAAAGCATTACTGGGGCACATTTTCAAAAATGACAGAATATCTGTTCAAATCCAAGGCAAACTATTGAACATTACAGTAATATAAGCCTATGCTCCAACCATTGATGCCAAAGAGGCCAAAGTGGATCAGTTTCATGAAGACTTACAATATCTTCTAGAAATGACACCAAAAAAAAGATATCACAATCATCAAAGGGGATTGGAATGCTCCAGTAGGAAATCAAAGATAATTGGCAAGTTTGGCCTTGGAGTGCAAAATGAAGTAGAGTTTTGTTAAGACAACTGTCATAGTAAACACTTTTTTTAAAAACCCAAAAGGTGATTCTACACATGGATATCACCAGATGGTCAATATTAAAAACAGATTGATTATATACCTTGCAGTCAAAGGTGGAAAAGCTCTGTACAGTCAGTTAAAACAAGACCTAGAGCTGACTGTGTCTCAGATTATGAGTTTCTCATTGCAAAATTCAGACTTAGGTTGAAGAAAGGAGGGAAAACCAGCAGACCCTATAGGTATGATCTAAAAAACATCTCTTACGAATACAAAGTAGAAGTGATGAATAGATTTTAGATTTTAGGGATTAGATATGGTAAATAGCATGCTTGAAGAACTATGGGTGGTGTTTCACAATATTGTACCGGAGATAGCAACAATAACAACAACAAAATCCCAAAGAAAAAGAAGATCAAGAACATAAAATGGCTGTCTGTGAGGCTTTACGAATAGCTGAGGAAAGAAGGAAAGTGAATGATAAAGGTGTAAGGGAAAGATATACCCAGCTGAACGCTGAATAGCAAAGAGAATATTATTGAGGTAAAAGAGTGATAGCTATCAGAAAAAAGGAAGGGATAGGGGCCTAAAGCTATTTCAAAGGCAAAAGACCTGACTGTGGTACCCAAAGGAAAGGGAAATCAAAATATATTCCAGGTCTTAATTATCTAAATTGTAGAATATCTAAACCATTTGTCTTTTCTTCCTAGCTACATACCATGTGACCCAGTTGGCTCGGGAGGTAAAAGTGAGGCTGGTGACTATGCACAGCTCTGCCTCACTTAAATCCAATTCACTTGCATGTCATGGCATCACCTCCCTGAAGTCATGGTCCTCTTTGAGAATGAAGGACAAACAACAACGATACACCATGTGACCGTTGCTGTGCCCATTAAAGGCTCTACCCCAAGGTATTCAAGAGAAATAAAAGGAGGCAAAATTCTAATCATCCCATTTATTCTTTGTGAGCAACTCTAGTAATACTGATTTGTGAGGGCCAAAGGAGGCTGCAATCAAGGGCAGAAATATTTGGGCTTGTCTTCATTAACTAAATTTCCCAGCTGGTTGGTGCCAGAGAGATACAAATATTCAAAGAGCACCTGAAGGCTCTGACAATGCTAATTCTGGAGTGCCTTGCTACTTTTTCCAGGTTAATTATGATTGTTTAGGATAATCAATTTGCAATCACACTTTCAAACTCCACCAAATTCCATCCCCCACCTTAAGCTCCTTCTTAGTCACACAGTATAATTTTGTTTCTGGATCTTAGTCATCTGGCTCAGCCCTCCAAATGCACATGTAGAGAGAGGCTGTAGAAGAGGAAATGGGGAAAGATCAGGAAGGTCCAGAAGTCAGGATGTTCCCAGAATCCATGGTTATATAGAATGCTACTGAGCAAGTACCTAGAGATCCTCAGTTCTGATCTCTATATTCAGTTCAATTCCACAAAAAAAAAATTTTAAAAAATATACATACGCACACACACATACATACATACATACATACATACATATATACACACGCACACACACACATATATATGTGTATATATATACACACACACAAAATGCTTACTATATTCAGAGTACTATGTAGGTACTGAGTGAAATATGAAATTTAGATCAGATGGGGTTTCTTCCTTACAGGTTCCTTATTTATTCCAGTTAGGGGATAAGATTAGTAAAGACAAAACTTTAATTTAAAAAAAATGGCCATCATTTATATAGCACTTCAAAATTTGCAAAATGTTTTTATATACGTTATTTATTTTTAACCTTACAACAACCTTATGAAGTAAATTCTAGAGTTATCTGTGTCACTATTTCATAGGTAAGGAAACCGAGACTCAGATTGAATGACTTGCCCATGGTCACAAGGCTAGTAAATGTCAGAGGCTGGTTCAAACCCAGATCTTCTTGCCTCTAGACCTAATACTGTATGCCTTATGTCATGTTTGTTGTTATTCAGTCATTTCAGTTACAGCTGACTCTTTGTGACCCATTTGGGGTTTTCTTGCCAAAGATACTGGAGTGGTTTACCATTTCCTTCTCCAGCTCATTTTACAGATGAGGAACTGAGGCAAACAGAGGTTAAGTGACTTGCCCAGGGTCACACAGCTAGGAAGTATCTGAGGTCAGATTTGAACTCAGGAAAATGAGTCTTCCTGACTCCAAGTTCAGTATTCTATCCACTATGCCACCTAGCTGTCCTATGTCATGTTACTTCCTAGTGATAATATGTGTTAAATGTATTAGAAAGTTGTAAAACAGAGGACTCTTTTCCTTCTGAGAACTCTCCTATATTGTCCCTTCTAAATCTGTTTCTCCAAATTGACAGAGATGATAAAGATGGAAATAATCAATGTTAGAAGGGATACAGGAAGACAGGTGCACTAACAGACTGTTGGAGAAGCTGTGGATTGGCCTAAGCATTCTGGAAAACAATTAGAAATTATGTGAGAAAAGTTACCAAACTGTTCATACCCTTTGATTCAGTGATATCAGTAGTGAGCACTTAGTATAATAAAATGAAAAACTGTGAGAAAGACCTCAGAGACACCAAGATATTCATAGGAACACTTCTTTTGGTAGCAAAAAACTAGAAAAAATAAGTCAGTGCTCATTAAATGGGAGAATGACTGAACAAATTGGGGCATGTGAATGGAATGGAATATTATTGAATGATAAAAATAATGACTATAGGGGCAGCTAGGTTGTGCAGTGGATAGAGCACTGGCCCTTAAGTCAGGAGGACCTAAGTTCAAATCCCAGTCTCAGATACATAACACTCGCTAGCTGTGTGACTCTGGGCAAGTCACATAACCCCAATTCCCAAAAAAAAAAAAGAAGAAGAAATAATGACTATGAGGAAATAAGAGAAATATGGGAAGGCTTGTATGAACTGATGCTAAACAAAGAAAGCAGAATCAATAGAACATACTATTGGTATTATTTTTAGCTTCACAATAGCCTTATGTGATCCCATAATCACATATTATGAGATCCCAAAGTGAACGATAACTACCCTGAAAAGTAGTTTGAATGTTCATTAAACGCGATGAATAATCTTCAGACGACCAATAATGAAACATATTTCCATCCCTTTCAAAAATAAGGGATGGCCTACAGGTGAAGAATTTGGCCTAAGCTGTTAGATGTAGTTGTTGTGATGGTTTGTCTTACTTAATTGTCTTTCTTTGTTACCATAATAGACAAAATAGTGCTTTTTTAATTGCTCTTAGGGATACAATTCAATTTAGGGAACATCTAAACACCCGTTCTGTGCAAGGCACTGTGCATGCTGCTGGTGATATGACTATATATATTAAAAAAAAAACCCCAAAACCAGACAATCTCTCCTCTTAAAGAAGCTTTCCTTCTCCTGGAAAGACACAACGAGTTCACAGGTCATAGGGTCATTAATTTAGAGGCCATCTGGTGTGAATCCCTGAGGCCCAGAGTGGTTTTCCCAAAGGTATCAGGCTACTCTGTCGAGGGCAGGATTCAAACCCAGTTCTTCACTCCTGGTCCAGTACTGTAACTACTAGAACTTGCTAAATAAATGAAAGCTATTTTCAAAGTTGTAAAAAGAAATTTAGAAAGGAAGTGCCTTAATAACTGGGAGATGACGGTGAGAACCAATTAAAATGGCCAGGGAAATGATATATTGAAAAACTCTCTCTCTCTCTCTCTCTCTCTCTCTCTCTCTCTCTCTCTCTCTCTCTCTCTCTCTCTCAGAATTGCATTTTCTCCTGGTCCATAGTTTACCTGAGAGACCCTTAGTAGTCTATGGATACTCTTAGAGAACCATGGCCCTAGCTCTTCTATGACTAAGAGAAGGGCATATTCTTTTTCCTCTTAAGGCAGTGCTAAGTTCCTTTTAATTATAGTGAAGGCAAGAGGTATTTGAGGTCATCATAAGGGAAGCTCTGTTATTAATCATTCATTTAACCATGAGTCAGAATTAACCCTAACCCCTAAATATGAAAGAACACAGGGGAATTATGTTTACCATCCCTGTGAACATCCCTAGTCTATGATGGGCATTCTCATGTGAACTTGATCTTCTACTTCTCATTTAGAATCAGGGTAGACTTCTGCTTGGCAAACAGCAATAGAACAACTGCCGTTAGAGCTGTGAATTGTTTCAACCATTCTGGAAAACAATTCGGAATTATACTAGAAAAATCACCAAACTGTATATTCCATTTGACTCAGTGATGCACGCCTCAAGGGAGTCAAAGAAGGAAAGTTTCTGTATATGCAAAAATATTCATAGCAGTGCATTTGTATTAATAAAGAACTAGAAACTAAATTTGTACCCATTAATTGAGGAATGGCTGAACAAACTGTTAGAGGAATACAAAGGAATATTATTGTGTTGTAAGAAATGGTCAATATGAAGAATTGTGGGAAATAGGAGAAATTGTATTAACTGATGCAGAGGGAAGTTAGCAGAACCAGAAAAAATTATATAATGTAAAGGAAAACAATATTGAAATACATCAGAACTCTGATTAATGCAAGGATGGATTAGGTCTTTAGTCAACAGAGATGAAGCAGGCCTCTGCTCAGCAGAAAGGTGATAAATGACAAGTAAGAAATAAGGCATGTGTGGTCAATGTGTTGGCTTGTTTTACTTAGTTGCATTCCTTTTTATAAATTCCATATTTTATTCTGAACTAAATGACAAAAAAGAGCGTTTTAATTCACACAGAGCACAAAGAGAATTCTATATGAAACTGTAGAACTGTTTCATGCCTCTTGCTTTTTAAAAATTATACAATAAATTCTACACATCACGTTCAAAACTGTCTTCCTTGTTTGAGCTCCCTTCTATATTCCTGTTCTCTTCTGCACATTTAAAAAATTTTACCATGATTCTTTTTTTTTTTTTTGCTATTTCTAATATTTACCCACTCTCCCCCAAAACACCTCCCCCAATTAACCAAAGATAAAAAAAGAAAAAAAATCCTGGTAACAAATAAGCATAGGTGAGAAAAACAAATACTCGTAGTTTCCATATCCAAAAATGCATATCTTTGTATCCTGTGTTTACCTTCCCTCTGTCAGGTGGCAGATAACACCCTTCATCATCAGTCTTTTGGAAATATAGCTGTTCGTTGTTTCGGTCAGTGTTCTTAAATCTTTTAAATTTGTTTTTCTTTATAATGCTGTTGCCTTTGTATAAATTGTTCTCCTAGTTCTTCACTGTTTATTCTGCACAAATTCTCTAAAATAGTCTCTTATCATTTCCTATGACAAAATGATATCACATTACATTAATATACCACAATTTATTCAGCCATTCTCCAATTGGTATTGGTAGACAATGGTTTCAGATTCAAATAGAAATGATTAAACTATTCATAAGGATTTCTACTAGAGCATATTGACTTAGAAAACTACATATTAAGAGTATATTTTGTTCTATTTATATTTATTTTGTTAAATATTTCCCAATTGCCTTTTAATCTGGTTTGGGCCAAACTCTGGAGTATGGGCAGGCTGCACATTTGACATCTCTGGTCTTAGGGCAATCTATTTTGTGGTTGTTCAATCATTTCTGACTCTTCGTGACCCCATTTGGGGTTTTCTTGGCAAAGATACTGGAGTGATTTGTCATTTCCTTCCCTAACTCATTTTACGGATGTGGAAACTGAGGCAAACTAAGTGACTTTCCCAAAGTCACACCACTAGTAAGTGAGTGACACTGGATTTGAACTTAGGTCTTCATGACTCCCAGGCTTGATGCTCTATCCACTGTGCCACCTCACTACCCTCCCTTTAGATTCTAGTTGTTTTCTTTTTTCTCCCTCTAAATCAATCGTTAGGATCAGGAAGTTTGTTTTGATTTTGACTATTTCCTCCCCAGTATCATCTTCTCTCTTAACCATCCTCTCTATGCCTAC